AGGACTTCAGACCATACATGTATCTACTAAAAAACACTGAACCTCAGTGACCTTGACCTTGAGGTCAAAGGTCAAATTTTCTGAAAATCTTGTCGCTCTAATAACTTGGGAACGAGACAATATGGGATTTTATAATTGATACCATGTATTAGGAGATTGAGGGGTATTTTGTTAAAGTGTCACTGCTGAGCAGAACAGATCAGAGTGGAGGATCTTTGCTAAAAGAATATTTCAGCAGACTCTCTGATGCTTTGATGTTTGTGCTCCCAGTGGAGAAGAGGGGAACTCTGGGGCCAACAGACCACCAGGAGAGCCGCACTCTCCTCAACACCATTGTTCGCAACATCCAGACCAACGACGTCTACGGGCCGATCAACCTGCTGATCCGAGAGATCAAACGGCGTCCAGAAGGGCTCAAACGACAGAGGTCAGTTCTCCTCCTTCACCTCTACTCACTGTTTCATATTTAGTCTTTCTTTAAGCTCTTAGTTGTGATTTTTGCTGCAGTGCATTAGAAAAGTGTCTGATGCCTCATGTATGTGAATGTCTCCCAGGAGCGTCTATAGAGAAATACTGTTTCTGTCACTGGTGGCTTTGGGACGGGAGAACATCGACGTAGGTGAGTGAGATTAACTAGTGATGTCAGCTGTGACCTATAGTGTACTGTAAGAGTTTGAAGGTGATGAAAAGTGATGACGTGAAATGTTCCTAACTCATATCTGTGTCGTCATCATGCAGAGGCCTTCGACAGAGAGTACCACAACGCATACAACCAGCTGAGTGCGGAGCAGCGCAAGTCTTTGCACTGCATCGATCGTCCGCCTACTCCCAGCGTCCAGTGGTGCCTTAAATGTTTTGGAGCACCTTTCATCTGAACTGATCCTCTCAGCAGCAGAGACACAAACTCTTACTGTTCCTGCTTCAACTTTGGGGAACAGGGAGACTTTCGGACATCTCCAGCTCGACGAACATGGTACTGCTTCTTCCGTTTGCCTTGGAAGATGACGTTGGCCATTTCACGTTTCTTTGCTTTGCTTTAAAGAGGTTTTCCAAGCAGCTGCCTAAAAGTGGAACTGTTGTTGTAAACTTCCTGGAAAGCTGTAATGAATCTCTTCAGACTAGTTGAGTTGCTTTTCCTTACAGAAGCTGTATAAAGCGATTGATCACTGTACAGAATATCTGTGTGTGTGCATGTCAGCAGCTTTGCTCGTAGCCTTTTGCCTCCTTAAGTCTGTCGTAGCTATACTCGTATCAGCTCGGTGTGAGACCGTGTACAGACTCTGACTCTAACTTTGTGCACTTTCTGAAGAAGAGTAAGTAAATCAAGTTCACATGACTTTTTGTACAGTTTAAGGAAATCTCAGTCGAGGTTGCATTTTTGTCAACAGCCCTGGTTGTTGTGATCAGAGTCTTAATG